CCCGCAAGGTTGTCGATGACTCTCTTTTGCGAGATACTTAGATGCAAGCTGATGACAGGTTTGACTCTTTGGCTTCCTTAAAAATGTTGCAATTTTAATACAAATACTTTAAAGCATTTTTCTTTACACGAGCTTACTAGCGATAACACAGCCAAAGTTATTGCATTCAAAAACACAGTTTGTGAGGCCAATCAAGCTTACCAATCAAGCTTACCTAGACCCCAGAAATATATTTTGCAAGATGGCGAGGCATTACATTCAACCAAATTTCACATGCAGAACTACAAAGGACCTATATAGCCCCATGAATTAAAAAAGCAGTTTTTGAACATGCCAGTAGCTGCATCGACGATTCAGTGGAAGAATAAAAGGCCAAAAAATACGAATTTGTTTTGAATGATTTCAAACGACTAGCTGAAAATTTCTTACTTGAAAGCTGTACTGGGAAGTTATTCAAGTTATCTATTACTCGTTTTTCTGTAAAACAGACCGGATGGATTGTGTTCATTCTGAACCTGAGAACTGGGCACAGTGATGAACGGGATAACTGACAAAAGGGGACAAACAGAAGCTCATTCTTCAGTGCGGTACCAAAATACGAACTTCCCGATGAGTGACAGGAGCATACTGTCGTGACTACTACAGAAGATATGATGCTCGCTGTGGCAGCACCCTTTGGAAAAGATCGGCTGGAGTGATTTCTGGAGAGAGCGTGCGAGTACTTGTGGAAAACAGTAGTGAAAAAGTTGCAATGGTCCAAGGGAGAACTAGGCCTAGACGAAATTAGTTATTCAACTGTTCGGACTATAAACTTCGAAAATAAACCCGGTCAAAGCGATTTCATTAACTAAGAAAGCAATCGTTCAGTTACAAAAGCAGAGATGATCAGTCCAAAATGCGATTTTGGTGAAGGAAAAAAAGTGCGGGCACAATCGAACCACGGATGGATTTAAACGAACTCAAGCTGATTCTAACACATCTTCACCTTCTGAACTACTTCCAGTAGCGTTGGAATAGTCAAAAGAACTGTGGCAAACACGCAACCCTAAACTCTTCCCATTCTCCCTCCCTCTGGAAAAGTTTCGCCTACTTGAAAAATTCAACGGTCACAGTGAAAGTTAGAGAAGAAAATCTGTCTCACCGAGAATTGATAAATGGAGCACAAATTTATTAAAAAAGCAATTGCTACGATTCCCTTGCCTCCTCCCTCTCCACCCAACTCTCTTTCTTTCCCTTTCACACTTTTTCATTTAAAGGTGCATTTTATGACATACTTTGTTTCCATTATTTGCGCCCGTGTTTGTTGCACCGTTTGAGTTAATACCACTGTTACCGGAAGATGATGTGCGTGACCTGAAATTTGATTGTATGCTTCTAATACGAAAAACGCATAAGTCAGCTATGTAACTTTTTTATGCGGTCTCATGATTCAGGTTCGCTTTGAGCGGAGGACTGAAAGGTAGTCGCTTTTAGTCCGTCACTCAAAGGAAGTTTGAAACATGATGCGGCACAAAAAAACGCGATTACCTGGGTTGTTATATTCAGCTGATTTGCGCCAGATGACAGGGCATCAAACCATTTGAGCAGAATCAAATTTGATTAGGGTGCGGAGCTAATAAATGGGACAATTTTTAACTTATATAATCTCACCTTTCCGAAAGAGGCATAGAAAGCAATATTTCAGTCCAGGAAACCGGACTATGCGTAGTTTCTATCAGATCTACTGAGTTGTTTAGAAGCAAGAATCACCTGGAAGTTAGTCCTGAGCATACCTACCTTATCGACTCATCAGAAGGGCTCTTAGCAATCTGCTGTCTTAGTTCCACTCCTTGCCCAACTGCAGAAAGTGTAGATACAGATGAAGACAGATGCTTCGAAGCGGACGACACTCCGGAAGATGTTGAAGACGCACCGCCGCCGCCGCCGCCACCTCAAACATTTCCAAGATAATTTTTGTGCGCTTCGTACGTGCTTTCCACAAAGCGTAACGCTTCAAACAACGAGGCACACTTACGACTTTGCGTACCGACTACGCAAGCAGGCAAGTAGACAGCAATTTCCCTCTGAAAACGTTTTATCTGGCGCATGCATGGAACGCATAAGCTCACCCTCTCTCTCTCTCCATTCTTCATGTTCCTTTTAACATGGCGAAATGGGGTACTGTACCGATGATTCCCACCTCATTTCGCATCGATTCTGCGGCCTGTGTTTACAGCTCAGGAAGGAAACACAGACAGGTTACCAGGCTTGCTTATTTGGGAGATCTAAATGGCATTTCCAGTTTTTCATTAATTGTCCAAATTTCATTGTGTTCCTCTCCGCGGTGGGCCAACAGCGCTAAACAAACTGCATATGTTAACATATGAAAGATTTCAGGCTCCCGTCCCTTTCCAGTCTCCTAGCCAGGGATATTCATTGTCTGTATCTTTAAAATTTTTGAAACACCTGTTCTCAGTCCAAAAAAATGTACTCGTGCAATATATTTGGGAAGAAACACAGTAACGGGCAACCGCTCGAAAAAAGCGTTGCCTTTTCATGCAGGTCCTGTAAACTGATTTCTTTCTTACAACCAATTGTAATAGCCTATCCTAAATTTCGGGCACAGTTCCGGGTAATTCTGTTAACCAGAAGTCAGCTTACGTATCCGACGCAACACTTGCAGAGCCACCAGGTCAAACGGCAGGCTCTAATTTTATACTCCATACCAGCTTCAGGAAAGTATCTGCGCAACTTTCTTCGTTCTTACAGAATGTATGAAAATCCCTGTGCAGAATGTATGAAAATTTTTAAAAGTCGCCGGAAGTGCTCAATTCGACTTCATGCGCTCCTGCCTAAACAAAAATCTCTGCTGGTGCTCTTTAAAATTCACAGTACTTTTTTGTTGTTCGCCTATTTTCAGCTCCTAAACGAGCATTCAGTTTTCAGCTTATGCAAAATACATTCTGAGCTTGTCACTGAGAGTTCAGTACTAAAGTGCGGAAATAGGAAGTGCTGCTTCAAAAGGTGTCAATCGTGTAAATGAAAATTTGTGGTTTAAAAGATACCAATTGCACTGCTACTGGTTGCCGCGGGAATCGCTGCTGCTTCGACAACTCCGCCGCGAGCAAGTACTTCAATCATAGTCTGACCACTCAGTGATGGAAGTGCATCGATAACCAGGGATGTCTTTAAACGATGACCGATTGATGTCGTACGCGTCGTTGCTCCCTGCGTTTCGCGCGCTAAAAATGTTATTAAAGCGTCACTGTAAATAATAATGCAGCAAATGTATGTCGCTGTCAGCGAATATGTACAAAGTGAAAAGTTTTCAGTTTCGCGCCAAATTCCCACGTGCCCGTACGTGAGCCCCGA